CTGTAGGAGCAGCTTGTTGAAGATGTTAGGGGATGTTTAACAGAGCTTTGGTCGAGGCAAGGAAAAGAAAGGGGGGGAAAAAAAAGGAAAGAAAAAAGGAAAGCTTATTGAAGAGTCCTGCGCAGAGGAGAGCGGGTGACGGGCACCCCGGCACCGGGCGGGAGCTCTGCTCCTGCGGGAGCGGGGACCGAGCCCCGCGCCTGCTGCAGAGCGGCCCCTCCGGGGGCAGGCCTCGCCCCCGCGCTGCGGACCCCGCTCGCTTCACTCCATCCGCGACGAGGCCAAGAGCCCGGGCAGGGGCTCGGCTGTGCTGTTGGCACCGTCACAACGTCTGATGTTCAAAGCAGTTTTGTACTGCAGGCTCTGCTTGTCTGGTTACCATCTTAATACACAATGAATACAAGTTACTAAAGCCGCATTTTGCACAAGGTTTCACAATACCCACCACGGTCTCAGAAGCAGTTTTGCTCCACGCGCTGCCTGGCTCTCCCCAGAGATGCACCTTCCTGCCTGCGCGACAGGCGTGACGCTGCGATGACAGAACAGCCCCTCGCTGCAAGCCCACAGCACTCCGCTGCCTAAACACATCTTTCCTGAGCGTGCACAATACACGGCACCACCTTCGCTTTAGCTTCAGCTTCTGACAGATCAACTGTCAATGCTTTGCCAGCATTTGAAGGATAAGGCACACAAATTAAGTGAACCGCAGCGATATGTTGTTCAAAGAGGAGGAACAGAATAGCAGTCTTTAAGACTGGAGGGTTCCTCAGCTTCTGTTGTACCTAGAATTCTGTTGTACCTATTCTTTCAGGAGAAAGAATAATTAATAAGACATCACTGTTCTAAGTTCAAATGTTATTTCTTTTCTTGTCCACAAACTTCACGTTCATCTCAATGACATTAAACGCATTAGCTCCCACAGACTCACTCCCCATCAGTTTGGGGGGAGAAATGAAGAAAAGAGCAAGACCCTGACAGAGTGAAGCTGTTGTATAAACTTGGCATGTACTAATGCCACGACAGCAGCAGCTTACCGCAGCCAGGGGTCCGGTCACGCCAGTAAGGTTACACCGAGCGTACGAACCGCAGCGCGCCTGGGCAGACCTGCTGTGCTGAAGGAGACCACCATACCCCCAAAACGTAAGCCGGGTGGCACTGATGTGGGTGGCGTTGCACGCTGCCTGTTTATCCCAGCTGTTTGTTAGGCAAGTAAAGGTGTGCTGCTATCTTCATTTAAAACAGCATCTTTAAATTTTTACATTAAAGTTCACTTCTGCCATGCCAGATACAGGGTTAAAATATGGATAAAGCCAGCTGAAAGATTCAAAATATTCAATCCAGTTTGTGGACACACTCTACGAACACTTCCCTGCATACTGAAGGACAGAGAGTTAGGTAAATTATTCTCCTGTTCTTTATATATACCCAACTGAAAACTGGATAAAAGTTCTGCATTTTACAAACTTTTCACGTAACACATTCCAGAAGACAGAGGAGCCATTAAACTCATGCTTCAGACTGAGCACACCGGTTATTTCATTTACTATTCAAGATATCAAAATGAATATTAACAGAAATCGGACTTGGGCATAGACACAAACAAGATGGTGCCCCTTACCAGCTCTACACACTACTGTGAACCTGGTGCTAGACTGTCAAATCCTTGCTCTAACCCACAGGGGCTCCGAGGAACCGGGAGCCCATGATCAGAGCCCACCTCGCCTCGAACCACCATGCTGAACAAAGCAGAGTTAAGGAGTTTTAGATTGAGCTATAAAGGTTCTGGCCAGTTTTGGACACACAACTGGAGGCCACAAGTAGTTTGGGTTTTTGCTACCTTTCACAAAATGGGAACCCCATCTCTGTGCAAGCTTAGCCCCTAAACCGCACACCGTGACAGGCTCTATTACCATACGTATATGCGCCACCTATCAGGTACTGTACAATCTGATTACAATACATGTGAATAAAAGTACTTCAGTCATCCAGAGTTGTTTCGTGCAACGCTTCTGTTTTTACAGGTCCAGAAAAGTAAATCTTAGGGCAGTTGCCAATTCACAACAAGCACAGGTAACATGCACAGGCAGTATGACACTGACAGCTTTAGGGTCAACAGGGCAAAGCTTGTCTTTAGGAAAGGGGTGAGGAGACACACTGCATTCAGGAGTAACTTAGCATCCAACACTCAGTCTGCTTTGCAGACATGCTTAACATTCATTTGTTCTGTAGCAAATGGGGAAATTGTACAGATTAATTCTAGGAGACAAAGAGAGCAAATCAAAGCTGTAAAGGCAGCTAATGTTGAAAAGAGCAAGAACTAAATCAGGGATACATAGGATAACCTTATTTGTTATGATGGTAAATGAAGTGTACTCTTGAGCCTTTAAAATAAACTTGTCTACAAGGAAAGTACATGCCTATGTATCTTCAAATAGCTATAGAACTCAAACCCGACTTTTAATTTTAAAAATTCTAAAGAATTAAACTCCATGTTTATTATGTCTTGTTACTGCATTTAACTGCACATTAATGCAAAGAAACCAAACGTACTAATAATTACACTCATACATGTAACTACAATCCTACTGATGAAATTTTAACAAAACTACAAACAAGTTTTAAGTGGAAATTAAGAAAGGAAGCAAAAATAAAATTAGATAAGGCACAGCAGAATTCTATTATGGAGTGTAAAAGAAATCTCACAAACATACACGCACAGCATAAAGGCATGTGCATCAAACTCACCTTAAGCAGAGTCCTAGGGATGATGTCTTCTCTCTGACCAGAGTTTTCACATTCTCCATCTTTAAACCCTCAGCATCGTGATCTCATTGTTCAATGGTAAAGGGCACATTTCCAGAAGGTAAGTTCAGCAAAAGTCCCTTCCTGAATAATTAGTGTCTTCAAAATTCTATTAAATTTAAAATGGAAACTATACTCTTAGTATTTGTTACTCAAGATAGCCATCACCACCTGTTATTCTTTTAGCAAACATTCTTGCCCACGTAGCTTCTAAAAAGACACCCTTAAACGCATAATTATACAGTATTTCATGTAACATTTAGGCCTAGCACTTCCAAAAGCCACCAGAGGTAGAAAGCTTTGGCTGATGCACAGCAAAAGTACAATTGCAACGCTAAGGGCAAAGTCCTCCTGTCACGGACAGCAACATTAGTATCTCTATAAGCTTCACAGGGAAGAAGGACGTGAACCCATTTCTCCCTCAAAAGCACATGGGAAAGCATTAACATGCAATTATCACAACATTCATGCTATTAAAGAATAAGATATGCATAAAAGAAAACCTTCATAGTGATACATGGCAGAGTGAGTTACATTTTGAGGAAGATGCTTCGGATGACTTAAGACACAATCCAAAACCCAGACTCTCATCCAACCTGTATTTCATGTTGTTCTATGGCTACACAATGATTACATTTCTATTGAAGTTTTGCATATGCTGTACGGAGACACACAGGTGTTTTAATAACAGTCAGCAAATACGTTTTTAGAATGGCCGATGGCCTAGCTGTTTTCTTCTGGGGCTAAATTCTTGTTGAACACTGGCAGGAAAGTCCCTCAGCCACCTCCCCTCTGGTGACTTCAAAGCCAGTCTCGCATGTGTGTGTGTGTGTGTGTGTGTGTGTGTGTTGGCGGCGTGCAGTAAACTTAAGTAAAGCTTCTTAGAGAAAGCTTCAGAATAGTCAAGCTAAAATATCACCCTGATTCCAGTCCCTCTCTTTTGAAGAAATATCCTACTACTGAACAATAGCCGGGATTTGTATCTTAACAGGCTGGAGGGGGGAGAAACTGGGGACACGTTGTGAAAAATACTCTCCACTCGCATTGCTACATTACACCACCACCACATACTTGTTTAACACAGCTAATCTAGAAATGCTCTGGCAGTATCCTAATGCTCTACAACCATGTTTTTCTTTTTGTTTCAACTCCAGCTCTACATATTGGGAAGCCCATCCCAACTATGTTTTTCAATATTTAGGACTGAAAGCAATGTGAACCAAGAAAAAAAAAATATTGTTTTGAATTAAAGCAGAAAAATAGCTGTGGCAGAGAAACCATGTAATATGTGCATTGGAATGTCAGAAATACTGTTTAATAAAAACTCTGCAGTACAATGCACACTTCAAACAATTTCTAGCTATGAGAATAATGATGCCACTAAACTGCAATTTGTAATCTATTTTTGCAGCATACTGACAAGAAGAAAAAAGTTCCAGGGTAAGAACTAAAAATTTCATTACAGTAACAATTTTTTATTGCATGTTTAAAATGCATTTTTAAAAACAAATAGTGCACGCTGGCTTCACTTTAGTCTCCTGAAATATGTACTTATGATGGGAAGCCCTGGGGCTACAGATCCATCTATGATGTTTATTAACAAAATATAATCCCAGTACATTTCCCCAGGGGACAGTATTTAGTTCCAAAAGATTGTCAACCCTGTACTCTAACACACTTGAGTTAGTTGTTTGTGTACACTAAATCCATTTATTTTAAATTTATTTTGTCTACATTTAGTGAAATAAAAACATCGCCCTGTACAATCCACCATCAGCAGTGAGTACAACAGCAAAAATTATTATACAGTTTATACACACTAAAATCTTTTCCTTTTTCCTATAAAGAAACCAGAACAAACCTCATCAATATAGAGTTTAATTTAGAAGAACTCAAATTACAGAAGGGAAAGCCAAAATTATTACGGTCTTTTCTGAGCCCCGAGAAGTTCCTGATTCATGTTGTTGGAACAGTGAGTGCAGCTGGAAGAGTGAAACATGCTCAAGTTGTCTTCTTGGGTCTTCAAAAAATTACCAAATATTTAAATTAAACATGGCTAGTTAAAGAAACATTTGAAGCAGAGCAATATAACTGGGAATTCTGCCTTACCAGTTGTGGTTTCTTTTAAACCCAACTTATACAATGCGCGAAGTGCTAAGCAACACTACAGAAACACATTTACATCAACACTGAAGATCTGGGGAAATGAAATTCCAACAATTTTATTTTTTTAAATGAGCTGTATTTTCTAAATTTGTTTTTATTTTTCTGTTTTCATACAGTATTGAAAACAAACGCGGCACATTCACATTTTCCCGAAGAATTGTAAGGATGATCTCTACAGGGATAACGTTGAAAAGCCTGAAGCTCAATCAATTGATGTTGAAAACTCTCAAAAGGAGTAAAAGGCTTGATCTGAATGGTCTAGAACATGTATTGTAATTTAATAGAAGAGACGGTCGTCTTAATATTAATGATTTAAAAGAACTTCCCAGTTCATGCGAAGAGTATAGTCCAAGAATAAATCAAATTTTCTGAACGCATTTTATGCTACGTAAGTGTATACTTTGCGATCCTCAGGTGTTCGTGCCAAATATTCTCTCTCAATAAGTCCTTCAATACGTTTTTTAATAACAACTGGACTTGGTAAGAATCGGGCCTTCAGCTGCTGAGTTACCTAAAACATAAGATCAAAAACAACAATATGATTCACAGGGCAAGTAAGATCATGAAGTATCCTAACTGACCAAAATAATCAGAAAAATTTATTTAGGCAGGTCTGGCTACAACCATGAAGCGTAAGCAGCAGTCTGCAAACTTCCGACAGTTTTTTTTCCCCCATCAGTTGCTTGCTCATTTTTGGGTATGATTCAAAGAGGCATGGTCACAACCTGAGAATCCTCTCAATTTCACAGCCCTAAGGGAGTTCACGAGTGGAAAACGTGTGCTATTCCTGAAGCTGCCAGAACTTAGGAGTTAAGAGCAGCAGGACTCATTCTCTCTCTGCCAAGAGCTCGAATCTCTCAAACCTGGACCCAACATTCAGTAACAAGATCAAAGCAGAAAATAATTAATGTTAAGTACAGTATTTTTTGTTGCCAACTGTTATTTCAAGGAATTTGATAACATCATAATAGCAATAAAAGTAGGAAGGAAAATTAGATATACATCCTAAACTGAAGGGTAAGGATTTAGATGTCTTCAGATAGACAGGGAGGAAAAAAAAGGATGGATTAAATACAGCATCCCTCAAAAGCCTTTCAGAATCATGTTAGCGAGAGCTGTGTAACTTTCATGAATTAATAGGAAAAGCAAAAAGAATTCCCAAACCCATATCAAAACTGTGTACAAGTATACCTCTGCTACTAGCACATTGTGTTGCATCTTCTTCCTAGATTTCATTATCCGAACTATAGCAGCTTCTATCTCATGTTTTCTGTCATCATCTACTTTCTGCCTTGTTTCTTTCCTTTCTGGATCAGATTCTCCTTGTTTGGCAGCAACTTAAAGAAAAGAAAGAATGTAAAGTATGTTAGCAAAATTAAAATTAATTTCATTGTGTGTTAGCTTCACTATTTATTTCATTTAGACATCAAGTTATATTCTCCTGAGTTTTGAGATTCTCAAACTTGATTTAAAAAAAAAACAAACAAAAAAAACCCCAAAAAACAAAAACCGAAAAGCAGCCACAAGAACATATTGACACTTTCTGACATATTTTGATAGCAACTGACAAGGTAACAATCTGTTATTTAATTATTGCTATGTTAAAATTTGAACAGTTCTCAAATCCACTTACAGGCACCATCAACCCCCATGCTCCCATTAAATATTCTTCTCTTTAATACAGCAAATAATCCATTAATTAAAACAGAAAAAGGATTGAAAATTTACTTCACAAACTAGTTAAATACTTTAAAATTTCATCAGTCAGAAGAAATAGTCCAACTTTATACTCTCCAACTCAATTATATTCTTTGTATTCTGTTTTCCTCTTCTATTTATGCTTTATTTCTACCGTTATGTCTAGCTTTTCTTACTCTTTCACCCAAGCACCATTAAAACCAAGCCCTCCTCCCACACTGCTATACCACTTTCCCCCTTGTCCTTCTTCACTCAAAAGCCCCAAGTATTTGTTGGGTTTAAAGAGATACAGACAAGAAGTCTTCTGTGTAAGACAGAAACATGAAACCACAACTATCAAATTTGCTCTAAAACCACCTTGAACCCCAAATTGTATTCCCTATTCACAGACATTTGTGGAGTGGAAATGAAGAAGCAGAATTCCACTAAAGCTCGAACAGTTGTCACAGAATTTACTTTAATTACGTCAGAAAAATTATCCAGACATGGCAAATGTGCCGACACCACAGCACTCTGTATGCGCATGAGGACACTCCAGCTATCACTTATGCAGAGGGATACGCGTAGTGTCATGTGTGTAGGTACTACTGGGTTTTACACGCTTACATCCCTGGACACAGCATGCTGCACAGAAGCCCAGCAAGTTCTATTCCGTGCAGCAAACAGCATGTGAATTACCAATGTGCCAATGATGCTGTATATTTTATGCACTGAGATCTGCAAAGTCAGAAAATATTTTTAGATGTACTACAACTAAGAACTAATCTTCCAAAACACGCTATGAAGTGTATTCACAGCAATGCCACAACTCAGAAATTATCTCCAGAGAGCTTTCTAGAGAAAGGGTATCAACATTACTTATGCATAGCACAAACCAGCATTTTGATGAGCTAATGAAGTGGTATTGTACCAATCAGCTTCTCTTATTTGTTAAACCCAAATCATTGCCCAAAAACATTATAGCTACCTGGCACTTGGAAACGGCTGTTGTATCATGGACTAAAAACATCACTCAATTTCACATCAGTACAGCAACTTATGATGCAATTTTCCTATTTCTGAATCAATCAGTAGCATATTTTTAATTTTACTATTTAATTTGGATTTTATTTCTCTTTCAACATTTCCTTTTAAGAGATAATTACAAATTTTGTAAAGTAAAAGGCTTAACTATGACTTCCACACTTTATCAGTATTTAATTTTTAATTTTGATGCAACCAATCAACAAAAAAATTTATTACTCTCTTCCTTTTACGCGTATGGATATCGCTCCTGCAAAGGATAACGTGACATTTTAAGGCTGTTTTGGGACTGGAAGACAGTAGAATATAAAGATCACTTACCTGTCTGAATCTTGACTCTGTGTAGTTTAGATGTGAACTGATCATTCACCGTAAATATATGACCATTTTCTATTTCTTTTGATTTAGGCTCTTTTGTAAGAACACGTTGTGTTGGTTTGCCACATGCAAGGGACTGTAGGGCTCTAACCAGTTCTCTTTCGGGGATATCAGTTTCTTGTTGAATTTCCTAAAGAAAAATATCTTAATTAATTTATGGCTATGGCAGAAGTAAGTATCATGTTTTGCAAACAATAGCACTGATTGCTTGAAATGTCCACCTTCCAGCATACAAAACAATACTACTATGACAGTTGTGAGGCTTGAAAGGTTAGAATTCACTCAGTAGCAAAGTCTCAATAGGTACTATGCAAAATGATCCACCTGGGTCAATGCACAGACAGTGAATTCTGTCAAGTAAATAGTCACCATGAGCTGAAAATAGAAGAATGAATAATCAGCTGTTTCATTTCACTGTAATTTTTGAGAAGGCTGAAAGGATTTGTTCACTGTCTCCAACATTTGCTGAACAGAGTGAAACCGAACCTTCTGAGTAACTCAGTGATGGAAAGCATCCATGATGTTTCTGAGCATTCCTGACGAAGAACTGCATAAATGCTTTTGCATTCAGCAGCACTGTTGAAAATAATATCTTTACAAATGGAAGCACATGAGGTCTAGTTTCACCATAGTGTAGAAATACTCTAGATTAATTACACCTCTTTTCTGAAACACCTGAAAATTTATTTGCAGCCCAGATGCCCTTGGCTAGGACTTCTCCAGGTAAAATACAAAAATAACCATCATAGTGCAGCAAACAAATGAACTTTGAAGAACAATGTCTGTAAAAAACATGTACATAGCTTGTTGCACCTGTCAGTATTCTCAAGAGTTCAGCTGAGAGCTGTGTGTTAGCTAAGTCACCAGTGATGACGAGTTAGCAAGCAGATTATACTGGGTGCAGAACGATGTCTTAACATCCTCTGGGAGTAGGCCAACTGCTACTGCTTCCTCAAACCTAACTTGTTTACTGAGCTCCCATTCATTAGAAGTTCATTTTAGCCTTATCTCTATTTTCTTACTTTTTCTAGTTTGAGGAAACTGCAGACCTCTCCGATTTCACATTCCCATTCAGACTCTTGAGGGACCTCTAGCAGCTAAAGATTAATTACCAAATAGAAAAAATAAACCTCACAGACATGTAACTGTCCACAAGAGCTGTCACTTCCCCAGCTTCCCCACCTTCAGTTCCAAGAGCACTGTCAAGCTCCTCCACTATCCCCGTAAATTCCTAAGGCTCATGGCGCACAGGTCAAACTGATGGTCTTCAGGCTAAAAGCAGCAGTAACAACTCCCAGTGATCAAAACGCTAAGCTCTGTACAGAACTATAAAGAACTCATTAAAAGTTCTTTAAACAGTGACCGGCAAAAGCAAACTTCAGAGTACAACTAAGTTCTATTAAATGATGTTATTTCTTGAGTGTACTCAAGTTTTTTAAAATCAATCCAGAAAAAAAAAAATGCCACTTTTCTGTGGTCATCCACAACTGACAACATGCAAGAAAAATAATTTGGATGTACTGGCCTCTGCTCAGACTCTGTCATTAATTACAGTGCATCTCATATACATCTCACTACCACGTCTCTGCGATGCCAAGGCTCAGACAGAGTATGCCTTACTTTTCAACTACAGACCCAACATTACATGTACAATGTTGCCTTTATGCGAAATCACGTGAAATTGTGTTTTTGACATGAGTTCAAATTCATTTGAATGAGGTAAATAAAAACATAATAATCAGTAAATCTAAAATGACAAAATTTCAGAATTTTTGATACCTACTGCTTATGGATGATTGCAAAATAATAAAGCATTCTTAAACTTAAGAGTATTCTTAGCATAATGCATTCAGAAATATTCATAGTATTTAAAATAAGTGTATCCACATATTTTAACTATTTGCTAGTATCAAAATGCCTCTTCCCAAGCAGCTCACAGAAAGTTACTGTTTCTTCATTTGTTGCTTTATTTAAACACAATTGTCACCTTCATGCATTTTTTCCAGATCCGGCACAAGGTAGTATTAAAAAAGCCCCAAACTGCTATAATCCTTTACACGGTCACAAACAAAAAGTCGTACTGAAATGGATCGATCAGCATGAATTTAACAAACCAAAGGAAGGTGACACTTAGATTTCAGGACTTAGGTAAACGTAAAGCCTTGAGGCTACACACCAAATCCAGCTTATTAATGATGTAATGCCTGTGACATGCAGGCTCCCGAACTGATTTTTTGATCAACACCTAAAGTGAATCCTTTCAAAATTAAATCACTTCTACAAGGAAAGATATATACTCTGCTTTTGATGAAAGTGAAACAAAGAGCTAAAATGGAATTCAAGGGTTTTTGATGCTAAACATCCTTATACTAACCACTATGTATTCTGTGTTGATTTTACTTCACTCTGTAGCATTCCAATTCAGCCACTAACGTATGCAAACCATTTGGGTTTCAGAATTTACAAGCTAGCATTGAAATAAGAACCTCAGAAAGAACTGCACTGCAATATGCTGCCCTAGAAGAAGGCAAAAAACTTCGAGTTGGGTAAAAAAGTATAGCTATGAATGTAAATGGGGTAACAGATGTTCCTGTGCTCTCTTTCCTTCAGTCTGTAGCATATAATTTTTCTAAACATATTTTTATAGAGACATTTGATGTAACAGTGAAAAATGTATGTGTTTTTTCCCCATCTCCAAAAATGCCTTATTTTAAAGGCCACACTAGAGTCATGCACAAGAGCAGTACTCATTACACAATCTTAGTTCTAAAAATATTACCAGGTGAGCTCTATCTGGAAGCTACAAAAGAGATGGTTCTAGGCATGGAACTGCCTCTGTCCAGTTCTACACAAGAAAAAAAGTTCATTAGAAGGAAAATGTGCAGAAGGAAGTTAGAAGGAAAAACATCATGTCATTTTGTTGAAATGACAAAAAAAAAAAAAAAAAAAAAATTTTTTTTAACAAACTTCAATTTTTATTTACAGACTTCAACTTGTATACCTTCCGAAGAAGAGATCAGCAAAAGAGAAAACAGGTAAGCCAGTTTTAAGCTCTAATCTCTCATTTTTGTGGAATTATTAAACAACTTTACTTCTACTACAGTCGCATTTGTATTTCTTGTTTGTTAAACCTAAAGAAAGAACCAAAAATTTTCCACTTATTTTTGATGTCATCACTAAAAAATCGTGCATTTCACCTCTTAAAATACTGAGATGTATGGAGAGGTAGCAGAAAAATATGCTGAGTATTAGATGAGACTTGATTAGAAGAAATTGAATTCTTTGAAAAAATTAGCATTCGTTGAAGGCTTGCATGAAGATCCTTCCTCTTAGATTCAAGTAGCATTAACCTAGACCCATATGGCCACCAGTTCTCTTGCATATATAAAACAAACGTTGGTGTAGAGGAATACAGCAAATGCATACATTTTTGTGAAGGAATTTTGCTATGCAATAATCCTTTAACTTTCTGTAGCATCTTATGCGTAATTTTTGCATCATCATTATCCCATTTTTCTCTCAATCACATGGCTTAACGGCTATTAGGATTATTGTGAGGATCTTGTCAAGTTTGCAATTAATAATCACACTGAATGCAAAACAAAACAGCAAAATCTGTTCAACTGTGAAGGCAACTTCAAATTAATCTGTTCAGCTGTGAATCTGCAGAAACACTTGTATATCAGTTAGTTTCATGCTTACACAAGCACACACCACAAGTCATCTCTCATGCTATGTCGCAGTAAAAGCACTAATTTGATATGAGAGAGACATAACAGTTGCCCAGCACTCAGCAATTAATGATGGTATTCGATAATCAATGAACAAAGATAAAATTCATTCCACTCTTAAGTTTTCATAAGCTTTCCTGGCTGGAGTTAAAGACAACTCCCACACACTTCACCAAAGAAACCAAACAAAACAAATATGCCTTCTTAATGTTTTAGTTACAGTGGGACACAAAGTAAGAGTTTAAGAACTCCCAAACTAGAAACAAACAAAACATACACAACCTAAAAGCACATGGACATATTTCTCTGTCATCTGGTCTTAGTAAAATAAAATATAATTTAGAGCACATATTAAAAATCCTATTTTTCACTGCTCTAACCAAGCATTATTTATTCATATATGTGTGATGCTCTGCTACTCATAAAGCCTACAATTTTGTGGAATAAGGTAGTCACCAGCCCAGTTTCAACATCAACTTGAAGAAAAAATGAGCTGTTAAGTCCCCCTCTCCCCTCCGCCAAGTATTCTGCAGAGAAAGTACTCAAAGCTGTAATGCTCCTGCAGTAGATTTCACAACACACAGGACTTTCTGTGCTCTAAAACAATCTTTTTTTGAACTATGAGTAGTTTATTAAGAGCCTCTTATCAAACCCTGCCTTCCTTAATCCCAACTGAGACTGTTTCAAAGAAACATTCTTCATTAACAGGCTAGAAGAATGCCAAGTAAGTTGAAAACAAAATCCAAACAAAAAGGCAAATGATTACTATGCACAGCACAGTCAAAAGTAGATGAGAAAACCTGGAAATCCACTCCGTTTCAAACTGCATCCGTACTGCTTTTCAAGGCTGCCAATGCTCTCTCAAACAGAAGATAACGTCTAAAACGGAACTATTAGTTGACATTAACAATACAATGCTCAAACCTCATAGCACATGATCCTCCTCCACTCCCAAAGGCTTCTTCATCACTGTCTATCAGCTGACCACTTCAACCTTGCCCAGCAATGCCCCCCTAGTCCCCTTGTTAAGAATCTATCTGGACCTTCTTCATTGTCCTTTCTTGCTCACCAGCTCAGAGAAGGGATGAAAGTTCTTCCGATTCTTCCTACAGCTCCCTCTGGCCTGCCAATTTAAACACTTCCGTGTTCAAGAAGCCAGGATACAAACCCTTCTCCCCGCTTTGGCCTCTAAATCCAGTTTCTCAAAGATAAAATGAGCAAATGGAGCCACCTGCTGCATTCCAACTTCAGCTTTTCTATAGCTCTGTGGCCTAGGAATAGCCACACTCTCAACTCTTTCTAACATTTCTGAAAACTTCTGTTCCCAAATAATTTCCTCCCCTAGGATTGCTTCCCAGGTGCATTACCAATGATCTGCTTCCTGTATTTATCAGCCTGATTCACACTCAAATAGAATGAGACGCACCTGATCATCAAAGGTCTATTCAAGAGAACAAGAAAGTGCCTAAAACAGTTATTTAAAAATCAGGTGAGAAAACCACAATGCTTACCTCAAATGTGTATTTTTCTCTGTTGTTAAAGAGCATTAATATCGTCATCTGGAAAGTGGAGACTTGCAATATGTGCTTCCGTGTATTTGAGCCAGTTACTTGGGCACCTCCTACGCCAACCTCTGAGCCATCTTCCTATTTTAAAATTACAGAACTACTATTAGATTATTCTCCACTGCAAAATATTTTACCTCAGTAAGATGAAAGTTACATGATGAAATAATTATCTAGATCAGCCTACTTAAGTGATAGAATAGCATATGCCTCGTGGCACAAACAGAATATCTCTCCAGTAGCTGTCTTAGAATCACAGGGTGACTGAGGTTGGAGGCACCCCTGTAGGTCCCACAGTCCAGCCTCCAACGCCAGGCCATCTAGAGCAGGATGCTCAGGGCTGTGTCCAGTCAAATACTGAGCATCTCCAAGGACGGAGACTTCACCACCTCTCTGGCCCCTGTTCCACTACTTTCCCATTCTCCTGTTTTCTTACTTTTATCTTTGAAATTATCAAAATATTTATCCTACAGTAATAACATTTTAACATCCTCACAAATGCACATTATTAATACTCTGCGTTATAAAAGTTTTGTTTTAATTTTGCATTGCCTTCTGCGTTCCCAAGCATCATGCCATTACTACCTCTAGCTTAGCATTTTAGAACTGGTCTAAATCACCAGCAAATTATTTTCTTGTATACATAAGCATTAAACATTGTACTTCTATAAACTCTACTAAGATTCTCATGTTTGAAAAAAATGTTGCCTACATTGCTAGCATTCTGCATATGAAAAGCAGGCTAAACTTGGCTTAACAACACTTTTTCACGTTAACAAAAATTACTCTGAAGAGAAGCAAATTTCATTTCATTTCTGACTGATTCACAGCCAAAAAACCCAAAACACTCAAACCACTGAGGTCCCTTCAAGATCAAAATTACTTTTCTATGAGGTAACAAAGAGACGATGCCAAGGGATGCATTCAAATTAGATTTAGAGGGGGGAAAGAAAAAATCAAAACAGAACTGTTACAAAGGAAGAATCAGACTATAAAGCCAATGGAAGGCATCTTATTCTTATATTATTAATGGGTAAGCTTTTATTTTACAAAATTCTGAAGTTATTACAAATGTGCATTTGCTTACTTTTAAAAAAAGACAGAATATTTTCATAATCTTGATACTCTACCTTTTTAACAGGCCCGTAGAAAGTGGCATTGAGATCTGCAGAACCCATATGATGCTGGAGTGTCAGCTGTCGCCCACTATGTTTGGCTAAATAAAATCTGTAATATAATTGAATAGAAAACTTAATACCTAGTTCACATTTTGTATCTAAGAGGAAATTGCTTTAAACAGTTACATAGACTTTTCATAGCCATTAGGGACACTAAGAAATTTCTAACTTTTGCTTTTTCAAAACATTAGCTCTCATTAGAATTCTAATTAAAAGCTCCTAAAAAATGCAAGCCTCATAATGTGACTGTTGCATTTTGTAATTTTTACACGAACTGAAGAAGAGCAGTATGCTAGCATGTCTAACTCTAATGGTAAAGCATATCTGTAAGTTAAGTTTAGAAGGTTTCTTCTTAAACCTCTCCCTAAAAATGTGGTTTTTAATACATACCTTCTAAATATTTCAAAAGCATGTCTGGGAGCTGGAGGGATGTTGCACTTTGGTGTGGCTGACTGAGTAGGCCAGTAACCTGTCGTGAGGACCCGCACCGTAAGATCAACACCACCTAATGAGACCTAAGGACAATTGGAAGAAAACATCCACTATTTTAAAAGAGGATCATGTTTCACCATTTTTCTTTATCAGTGTAGAATGTAGAGAATTTTCACAGACTAAGAAAAAAAACAGACCTATAAACATTATTTTTACAAAGCCAGACAAATTAATTCATCACTATCAGAGTACACGGTACAGCAAAAATCCTTCACACGATTCCACTCTGGCATTTAAGAGTGTACAGAATTTAACAAAATAAATTCTTAACCAAGAATGAAATGTCTGATCATAAACAGAACTCGTAATACATGTAACAATTCTTTCTAAACAGGTTTTTGACAACATACAGTAAAGCCAGGTTGCTAAACCTATCAGTTTCAAAATACCTGTTTATAAGTTTACTCTCTGGAAGTACAGAGTAAATACTGCATATCTAATGTTAAACCATAGGGAGCCTTTCCTGCAGTTTACTTCTGGACTGCAATGTAAACAGTTACTCACTTTTACACACACACACAGCCTAGCCACTTTCCCTAAAGACAGCCATTACCATAAACATTCAGCACTGGTTAGGAAACATTCCACAACTGAAGTGATGATCTATAAAATAGTTTTGTTAGTAGGTGATAAACATCTGGCTACCTGTGAGGCATAATCCTCACTAGGTATCTCAACCAAGCTGAATATTATTAAACTTAAAACTGACTACTTTCAGCTCTAGGAGGTGTAACTAATACCATCAAAGAACACACATTATGGACAAGAAAAACCAAAGCATACTATATCCAACTTGTTATAAACCTACTACACAGAAATAGAGCACGTTATATTTTAGAAGGTCAAAAACTGTCATATGAACTCAGAAACTTCCATTACTAAATAGCAGAGTAGCATTTCCATGCACTATGGAAGAGTTTTCGTATTGTGCGTGTTGAATGCCTGTGTGCATCAACAAACTCGCGCCTAGGAAACTTCTGAAAAATCTAGACAGACAGGTGACAGGCTACACATACAGAAATCCCTTTGACTGAATTTCATTAAGAGAAACAATTTGCAAAAGTATGTAAAGACCCATATAAAGGTTGGTCTGTAGCCAACAGTACTGCCATGCTTCTAACTTCATATCACCAATGTCATGAGGCTCACAACAGAAATTCAAACAGGCATTTAGACACAGAAAACTAGTTAATCTGCACCTAATAAAAAAAAAAAAAAAAAAAAAAAAGCTTCAACAGTTTTCTCCCTCCAGCCAAAACATAGGGAAAGGCCATCAATGCAGACAGAAAGATACAGAAAATATCTTTATCTGGAACTGAAACATCTTAGTTGAGATGGCAATGGTTTCCCGAATTCTTTTGGTCTTAGCCAGACCAGAACACAGTGTTAATTTAGAACGCCTCACATCATACATCATACAGACCACTGAGCAGTTTGTGACTTGAAACAGTTTCGGAAGCACTTTAGTTTAAAAGATGTCTTTTCAGCATAAAAGTAGTATGAACTAATGCAAAGTGCCTTGAAGTGATCTCATCTTTACAGAATTCCAATAAGCTGAAGTTTCAGGATCACAGTTGTAGAAATTAGGTTGGACTTTCCCTAGTGCTGAGCTTTCGCCTTCCTGATAGCAAACCAATCATCTACACAGTCCTTGGCACTACCTGTATCTCAGGATACACCATCCAGCAGGAGACTTCGCAGGTAGGATTAGTTAGAGAAGAGCAGATGCCTGCCTCCTCTAGGAGGCACCATAGGTATTCAAGGTACATAAATTGTTTAAAAAGGAGTAGAATATACTATTTAATATGAAACACAGTACCACCAGCAAGTTAACAGTAACATAAAACCCCAAAAATCTTCCTATTTGTACTTCTTCTCAAATATTATTGACACTAACAGAAATATATACGTTTCCATCATAAATAAGTACTCCAGAAATTTCATTAAAAGGCCATGATTAGGCTGACCCAAAGGCGACCACCAGGAGAACTGCTGTCCCTTGCCAAGAAAAAAAAATGAAGTTTATAATAAAGCCTAGCAGAGTAACTGTTAACATTTTAAATTCATCTTATTAGCTGTACATAACTAAAAAGAAGATAGAAACATCATTTATTAACTCACTTAAAACTGTCACGTAAAGTACATGAATCTCTAACATCAAAAAACCCCCATGTACAAGTCCTGCATGCTACCTAAAAAATGGGAATGCTCTATCAAATTGTTGTTGAAATTAATATTTCAAGCATTCTAGAAGGAAAACATGATTAGACTCTAGAGAAAAAAAAGCAGTAGTAAAGCTGCCTGTCCACAAACACCTTTATATCTATGCATATGTGCCTCTATAACCTTTTCTGAAACTACTTTGAGAACATCCCATTCTTTCACTCATGATGATCCACAGTACGCTGATGAGGAAGGTTTCAGCTGACTGCTTCAAGACAGCAGAGATTTCAGATCTTTGATCCTGTCCGCAACCAGGGACATTGGACAGAATACATCTGTGAACATATTCCTGGCATTCAGATTTCTGAAACTGATTCAAACATGCTTGATATACAGACTGACTTACCTGCAGACACAGAACTACTTAGCTGTTTATTATATATTATTAAGTGCTACTGAGTATCAGTATAGAAAAAAAAACTGTTTAGAGCAAGTAAACTGATATCTCAAAATAGAAGCGATCTTTCCATTCTGCAATATCCCAGAGGCCCCCTTTTACAACAAAGTGTAACACTTCTTGATTGAACAGTTAAGTCCATATTTGGCAACTGGAATAAAATGGTACTTCTGCTTTTAATAAAGGTATTAACTGTGTCAGGGAAGTTAAATACGAGCTGGTATGTTTGTCAAATACCTGCAGCATTCAATATTTTTCTTGTTGTTAGCATAAAATATGGGTCACAACAAAGATTACCTTTAAAGAATGAGAAAGGTTAGACTGTGCTGGTGACACGGCGTTTCTGAAACGCACCTGCGGGCGGGCAGCCGGCCCCAGGCGCGCGGGCACAGCTGGGCAGCGAGGGGCGGCACAGCTGGAGCGGCAGAGCGGGGCAGGGCGGCGGGCGCTGCTGGGCGGGGAAGGCATGCGGACACAATAGGGGTTGAAACCGGATTTCATGGAATGAACCTGGCGCTGCTCAGGCTGAGGATCAGGCTTCGAACTGACTTTTGTGTTTCGGGAAATACTAACAAAGTTTATAAGGTGAGAAACGCAGTACAAGAAATACAATTTGAGGATGCTGACAACATCCTTCTTTCCACACGCGTATACTAACAAATTAAAAACCACGAGCACTGATAAAGGTTTAGGGTTTGTACTGAAGTAAAAGGACAAGCACACAGACCCCCACACTCTTACCCCAGTCGCCTGTAGATGTTGCCTGAACTCATCCATCGTTGTGTTTGAGATGCTCATGTCCCTGAACATTCCTTCCAGTTTAGACGTGAACTGACATCCACATTCAGTCTAAAATAGACAAATAACTTGTTGTGCCAGCACTATGAAAACAGAGCTTCTGATATGTGAACTGCAAGACTAAGAGTTACTTTCTAAATCTCATTAAAAATGGTATTTCTGTACATTTGGTTACAGGGATTCCCATTTGCATTACCTTCAGAACTTAAAAAAAGTTTCATTTTTCATATAAGGGTCTTAACCCTACACATATCAAAACTTTCTTTCTTTCTCTTTTCTCCATTATTGTATTTTTGGTTTCTTTTTAGCTTCCTATCTCATCTTAAAAAGGAAAAAAAAAAATATCTGTGAAAGCTTATCAGACCAAGGCACACACTTTCACCTGCTTTTTAGCATGATACTGTAAAGAGAAATAAAAATCCTTATTTGTATCAGAAAAAAGCCCTGTTGTCCTAAGAGTGTATAATTTTAAAGCTTACTGCAGACTACCAAGTGAGATTACTAGACCTTTTGGGAATCAGGGACATACGCATTGATAGATACATGTGCACAAACACATGCATTTCAGTTGCACATACAGGACTTTGTGCCTATTTCTAACACATACTTTGACATATATGGTAGAGGCAAGCATGTCAGCTTCAGCATCCTCATCACTGTTCAAAGACATGAGAAAAGAGAGCAGTTCTGGTCCACTGATTCACCTCGCAAATGTATGCCCTGTGTCTTCTAAATCACCAAGCTAGAAGCAGTGGAGAGGTAATTGGGAAGTAATTAATACTGATAATTTGTCATTAATACTGGTAATTTGGAGAAATCTGATGCAAACAGGCTTCGCTCACTGATAGAATATGAAGGTCAAAAATGACAATCAGTAAAGTTTGATTTTAGGATCAAATCGCTCTGGTTTGGAAGTTCCCTAGCCATTTATCATGCCACTTAGGAAGATGCTGCATTAGAACTTGCTTCAAGGACTGTTCGCCTTTAGGCCTTACTTTCTTCTTCATCTCTTCGCCTATTTAATCAGTAAACAGAACCAACTATGGAAAATGTGTTTGCAGACACTAATATGAATTTTTTTTTTCCAATCTCAAACTACTTAATCAAAAAGGAATTGAGCATTATCACCAGTCTGTAAATGGAGGCAACTAAAAAACAACAATGCATGCAATAAAAAATTCTACTGTGAATAACAGAAAATCTAGGATAAAACAGAGTCCTGTCTTCAAATCCAGTCACTAGGTAACAGGAGTTGTCCTCTTACATGGAAAGTCTTAACAAATTGGGGGGGGGGTGTAGTTTTGTTTTCTAGATTGCTCTCTCATCACAGTGCTTTCCATTACTTCCTTCCTTTTAGTTCCACAAAATCATTCAGGAAAGCCTTTTGTATTTTCTATGGAGGCTTTAAAAATCAAATCTGTATTTAACAGCAATCAAGATGTATGTTATCTATATATCCCTTATGTAAAAACAGAAGAAACCATTTTTATGAAAAAAATGAAGTAAAAAGTACAGATACTGTCTTACCTTTAATTTAGATATCATATTTTTCTCAGAGTCATCTGAAACACTCTTATTCGTGAGAAGTCTTCTTGCCAAGTGCTGCTTGTAATAGCGTTCAAAAACATCTTTCTCTTGCATAAACCTAAATAAAACCATTGCCTTATCCAATATAGTTTCTACTTCTTGCTCTGTTAGCTGTAAAAGAAATAATTCGCTGGTTTTAACCTTCCAGTACAAGTGTCTTATACAACCTAAATACTTCAAGTAATTCACAGCAAGCATATGGTCTACCAGTAGCCTATAAAGCAGCCAACAAAACTGCTCCAACATGTGAACAACAGAGCCAAAAGAAGAGTGCACAAACTCAATAGAGCGGTGAAAGAAATGGATCTAAAATGGAAGGAAAAGCAATTGTGAGGGAGAAGGGAGACGATGGATAGGTAGAATGTCTGGTAAATAAAAACTTATCCAGGAACTTTTATTATAAGTATTTTAAAAAAAGCACAAACAGAAACCAGTATTAGGAATATGAAAAGTTAGTTTGGAATGACAGCTTTTAAATGTTAAGACCTGTTTTGCAAAGCCTGCCTATGCCACAACAAATAAAATGGTTACTTATTTTATAAATAAATAGAATTTACTATTTGATTCCCAAAGCATAAGGTGCATGCAATAATATTCAGCTTTATTCAGAGCCACTGAAGCCTCAGCTGAACCGTCCTGTCCAGTTCCAGGTGCTGTACCTCAAAACATTTCATGAAAGAAGCTATGAGGTAAGACTGAGGGAAACAGTCGTATTTAAGCTAGAAGAGACAGATGTGGTAATAGTCCTCCATTATGCAAAAGCAGTAAAAAGAAGCAAACTGTTTCCTCTATTCAAGTGACTTAATATTCAAAAGAAATTATTAGATATTGAGAATAACTGCCAAACTTTAAAGATATTTAAGGAATTGATACTTAAGGTTTCAAAGGAAGGGAGCTGCAGAATCCACTACAACCTAATTCTGTTTTTTGAAGAGGTATCTGCCAGAAGTAACCAGGTATACTGCTTCAGAGATGGGGGACAACATCTTGAGATCTCCTTGTGCCTTATATTTCTATAAGTTTAGATCTAAAGTGTTATGAGCTCAGATGTGTTACATATACTTTTTTTTTTAAGGTAGTACTGCCATTTATCTTAATATAAAAATCATTCTTGGAAAAGTAGCTTAGTTTAATCTGATCCAAGTTAACAAAGAGAATGATCTTTTAATTTAATTTATACTTACTCCCTTGACTCCTTTTTTCAGCTTATCGTCAATAAATAATGAGAGGTACTCTGGAGACCTAGAGTTGAGGTTGAGGAAGTACTCAAAGTCACCCGCAATAGTCTGTTTGAAAAGTCGATCATTATTGAAAGATTCCTGAAGAAAGCGGTCAAACCTACTCTTCAAATCCAGTAAACCCTTAAAAAAAAAAAAGTATTAACATTTTCATTGATTTGAAGTTGCAAGCTGTGAAACAGTAATAACAAATGAAGTTGTAGTGAAGACCACATCTACAGTCAGAGATTCTGCAAAGCTCTCTATGTTCGGGATTGTTAGAAAGTATCTGAAATTTCATTTCCATTTTTAAATACCTATAGCTGCCATAAATCTCTTATGGAAGCAATTTTCAGATGAACTGGCTAAAACATTGGTGTCAAATACTGGTGCAGTTTGCTAGAACAGGCTACTCAAAGATTAAGAAAGTTTTTAATAACCCGTGTTAAACAGGATGATTTACCGTATTTTTAAATCCACAACTTGAGGGAGGCATTTGTTCTGCTTCTTAAGCCTCTTCTATTTTAAATAACGTTGACAAAGTCACTATCATAAATACAGGATACGGGAAAGATGAGGCCAAGCACCCATTAACTGCATCCCTAGAGCTACTAAGCAAGTTCGAGAAGAAAACGCACTGCAAGAACAGGCCTAATCTTATTAGGTTTTTTTGCCCTCTGATTTCAATCCAGGGACACGTTTTGCATTATTTAGTTGCATGTTTCTTACTGATCTTTAAGAGTCACTGCGAACATATGAAAGTTAGAAACAAGCAATAGCTCTCCAGTTATCACAGTGTGAATTTCACAGGCCTGAATTGAACCACTTCCTCTGAGCTGAACCATTAGATTCTTGACATCATTTTTAGGGTTTGCACCTTCTTCACATGGAGTTAAAACAACTGGGTGCAGAACGAGGAAGCATCTTAAAATCACCTGAGCACCTTGCTAAGTATATATGATACACACTGGGTTTAGACATAACTAACACAGCATTCGGGGGCAGGGGGAAGGGAAAAAATTTCACTTGAGAGTTAAATTTATTATGGATAACTACTGCCCACAAACTGTTCAGGTTAAATGATCTTTAAGTCCTTGGTTTCTTAAGAAATTATTTATATGTGGTTACTTAAAGAAGCCATTCAAGAATTATTCAAGGAAGTAGTAATGTTGCTTAGGAACTCACCATCTCACTTAAAGGAATGGTCTTTAGACAGGCTAATTAATGCGTATTAGAAATTTTAAATTCAAAGTAAATCCCACTATCTCTCTGTTTACCAAGGTTAGCTTATGCCTCCTCTCCAGGAGTACACCATCTGAACAACCTGGTATTAAACAGGAGAAACTGTTAGTACCTGAAATTACAACAGCAATTCAACATCCCTTCAAATTATTTTAAGTAGTTTCAAATCTAATCCCCTGGCAATGCTTTTGCAATCATCTCACCAATTATGCTCAGGGTTTGGTGATGTCATGTTGCAGAAGCAGTGCTGGACTATGATGAAGTTTTTTTCTTGATGGTATAATGTAGCTTCCTTGTCTGTCTTCTTACTGCTATTTAAGTCCTTGAAAGATTCAGATGAACATGGCTGAGATGAGAAGAGTGAGGTAGTTTCTCAATTCACAGGCATTTTTCTGTTCTTCCATCATGTCAATGGAAGTGGAGGACAAACCTGTTTGGGGGTTTAGCAGTAATCAAATATCAGTCCCTTCCCTAGGTCATCTTCACGAGATGGCAGGGGTACATACTAATGGGCTGAGGATGAGCTCTGCCAAAGCACGTGCAGTATGGCTGTAAGTCTTCTTCAGCTTCATTATAATATTTCGCCTTTGGAGCAGGAAATATCGATAGCATCTTTATAATTAGGTTTTTTAACTCTGTCAGTTAAATTTTTTATGATACGCTTTTAGGTCCAGCAGGATTTAAAAGGGGTAAAAATTACTTCAAAGTAATCCAGACACTTATTTTCCACATCACTTGCCTTTTCTTTTTTTTTTTTTTTTTTTTTAAATCATACCACCACAAAAAACATAACAGCCCTTAATCATTAAACCTAATACATTTCAAAGGGCATTCTCTCTTCTTTTTAATAATCCTTGGAGAGGTGATTCTTGTCCAAGACTGGTAAGAAGTTTGCTTCAGCATTGCCAGAAAAATCAACAGTCCAAACAAAAATGTGTTTATACTCAAATGGCTTCTTATAATAGTAACCAGTTTTAGCAAAGTTATTGATTTCAAACAAAACAGCAGAGATGACAATAGACATCCAGCATTAAATGCTTCTCAAAGACCAGACCCAAGGACTTCAACTACAGGTTTAGAAAAACAACTTAACGTTTAATGAATACACATTTTCACATTAAGTATAAACCATCTTCCAGCTATAAAAACATTTCCTTAAAGTTCAATGAACTCTAAAGATTTTATGTGCAAATTTAAAGCCATCTTCTCAGAGACAATGGGAGAGAAAAGATGACAAACCCTCCTGAAGTATATTTTGTGATCTTGATAAATTAATGGTACACATCACTTCTTAGTGAGAGATGGAGAACAAGAAAGAACACTTGTGTCTTCTAACATGCACAAGTGCTCTGTTTCTCAGGGAGACTGAGAATGAAGCAAGTTGTTATGATATGTAACACATTCACCTCTCAGTCATAGTATATCGTCATGAAATACTGTCATATGATTTTTGCCTCAATAAACATTGACAGCTAACATTACATAAAATTAAACAAAACAGACTCTATAAAGCTATTTGCCAGCAGACATACAACTCACTCTGGAGGCAAATATCATTTAGGATAATCCAAAAAGTTCCCAGCAGTTACATAATTAGCCTGAATATGTTGTTTAATAAAAGCAGCTACCAAGAGCACAAAACCCAAGCATGTACTTTCCAAGGAACTTAGGTAAAAGAAGAATCCTAAACATGTCAGAAAATTCAGAAAATATACATTTTAAACAAAATTATAAACGCAGCTTATAAATAATAATCCCTTCTGAATCAATATTAAGGTTTACGTTATCAATCACGTAGTTAACTGCTACTCTGGCAAACGTGGGAAAGATGGAAGAAAAAAAAGTTAAAATATTTAACTACCTGAATGTAGTCAACTGGATTCTTTCCTTCTCCCTCTTCAGAAACTAGTGCTTTGCCTTGCTCTCTCAGGTATGAGCTCATGCACTCGCACATTGTCTTCAGACCATTTGGCACACGACTAAACAACTTGTACATGCAAGCAAGGTCTGGAAACAAGAATGACACATTATGCAGGACACCCTCTGTCTGTTATACTTCTGTAATTCATTCATTTCATAGCAAAAGACAACAGTGAAAGTTAAGCCACTTGTGTCACAAAAAACATCCTGTAACAGCTCAGGCACTGGAATCTTCTGATGTCCCCTTTCCTTTACCCCTGACAACAGGCTTACCACAGCAGCCACAAAATTAAAAACAAAGGTTGTATTCAATTATTCTAGGTTGTCTATAGCATGGAACCTGCTATTGCTGATCCCTAGGCCAGCAAAAGTGGATGCTTGTGCTAAAGGATAGTGCACTTAAAGCTTCAGTAAGGTTATGTTTTCCAGTGGTATTTAAGAATGTAGCTTCCAAGATCATCATCCCAAAAATCAAATACTGTATTAAAAGTTATAAGAAAAAAATCTAAGTTAAAGCAAATAGGACAACACTAATGAGATGCTTGTTTGTGTACTAAACCCAAAAACTAGTAAAAATTGGAGTTTAATTCATATTTGTCTTAAAGTCAGCCATATAATTTTATACTACCTTGTTTCATCCATCTAAAATCATGAGAAGTGGCTTAGCTTAAATACGGCTTTCCAAAAGAGCAATCCATCCTTGTACGCTTATGTGAAATCTTATTTTCACAATGCGGCAAGTATTTCCTCTCTGCTATTTAACTAAATCAAACCAAGGCCTACGAGAGTTAAACTAATTCCTGTATCTTATAAATACCCTTCAATATCATTGTACCCTCAGCCTGAAGGCTATCTTAACTGGATGTTAAAGAAAAAAGGTTAAGTACAGTGTCATAACTTTCCTTTTCAATACAGTAATTCTCTTTTCTTACAGCTAAGAAATTTACTAACTTTGTCACTCTGACTATCACCTAGTAATTGTGAAGCTGCTTTAATGAACAAAGGCCATTAATCTAAGCAGTGTGTTCCCCATTCGCACAGCTTTAGCGTGAGCACCAATTTCTAAATATAGGTACTACAATCACTGTCTTCATTATGCTGCTTTAGAAACTTATGTTCTATCTCTTTCCATAGTAACTTTTATTCAGTCATTCTGTCCCACATTAACTTCTATCACGGAAAATCAAATTAAGCCAAGCCCTTCTTTTTCAACCACTTCAATAAGCTGCTTCTTATCCTTTAAAAACTGCCAATTTTCTTTCTGCAACAAAGCCCTCTCCCCAAGAATTGGTCCTGCAATACTTCTATTAAATAAGTCATTTATGCTAGCGCTTTTTAAATAATTGCCTGTGGGCCAAAACACTTCAATGCATTTTGACAGGTACATACTAGAGCAATGAAAGTAATAAAATGGCTCATGGAAAACAGGTAGCAAAGACCACCACAAGAGATTTGTACTTTTCTTAAGAGATACTTGGTTTACCAAAAAAGTACCTGTGTCTGGTACTAAATAGAAACAAGTTATGCATATGGGCTCTGTTTTAAAAGACCTCTAAAAGTCTCTGAAGTAATATTCTCAGATGTTTGCAAAACAGAGCCACCAAAGTGTTTTTACAATTATACAGGAACACAAACTTTAAGCTCCACTTATCCTATGTTTACAAACAATAAGCAGTATCATAAGCATTTCTGTCTCCCACATGATGCAGTCTTACCTTCCGTCTTCCCATTTTTCAGCATATGAACTAGCCCAGAGTTCTCCATTTCCACTATAGTTTTCATATGCTTGGAAATAAGCTCCCTCTCAACAACTTTCACAATTGGTTCTTCTGTTGATTTATCCAGACAATGCATCACCCGTTCTATTTCTTCATTAATTCTAGCTTCTACTTTCTTTATATATACAGAAGCACTGTTTTCAGCTAAAAATTTCTGACTTTCCATCTGTGATTAACACAAATTAATACTTTAGACTTGTTTTTTTTTTAAAGGGGAAAAAGGAAATGTACTGGTTATTTCAGATCAGCATTGATAAGCAAGTTCAAATCACACCCAGCATGTCCAGCAAATGAGATCATTATACCCCCTAGATTTACATACATGCTTAACACAAAATAAAGGTTCTATTACACTAATTGTGTTACATACATAAGGGAGTACATGCAATATGAACGTGGTATTTTTCATACTAAAACAACCTAAGCCAATCTAGTTTCCAGTTACGAATTATAGAGTTTTAGCCACAGGTCCAAAGAAAACAGAAGGATGGGAAGAGGGAAGAGGCAAAGATTCCTTTCAAAATACCAGTTTATGGCATATTTATGAGTTGTGAGGATCAACAGTTCTCATTATTCTCATTAGTGACAATGCTGAGCACATGATTTCATGTCAAACTCTTTTTATCCATACTGGTCAGCACAGTCTTTTGGAGGAAAGATTTTTTTTTTTTAAGGCAGAGCTAAGAAATAAAACTTAAATAAACATAATTATTTTTCTTAATTTTATGTAGCACCAATGAAAAACAGAATACAATGACTTTTAAAAGGCTGTGCAACATATGCTTCTGATTTTCAAAGAAGTTTGGAGATCAGAGGGTATGACAGACAGTCGATCCTGCACAAGAATTCGGAGACTGACAAATTAGCTTATCTAGGTATCTTTTAACCTGTTTTACAATTTCTATCCATTTCCAACAATAGAGGAGCATGATTACACTCAACAACCATTCAACTGGCTTCTTTCCTGAAACTATCTCATAAAAAACCTTAGGAAATATTTAAAATGTGTTATTCAGTGGTTGGTCAACAACTGGAGAGCCACTTGGATACACTTAATTCCTTGACTCAGTTCCATTTTATTACAAAATATAACTCACGAATGTAGAAACTATGAAGGAAACAAAGCTTACTCAAAGGCAGTTTGACAAGTAGTCTCCCCTCTCCATTCCCAGCCTGAAACACTTTGAACCTTTCATGCTACTGGTATTTCAAAAAGACTGTGGCTGCAACGCAGGGATAGACTAAGTTGCATGAAATAGCCCAAAGCAGGCACAAGATTAGCATAACGATTACATAATGATACATGCTATCAGCACCCATATTTCAAAACTACATTCAAATTACGGTAATTCTGTAAAATTTGTGTTACTTCTTCTGCAAAGTTAGTAACATTTTTTTCTTATTTAACGGGATGGACATACTCATCAAATAAGTAGCAATTACTTCAAGTACCACCAATTCTCACAATTCCAAGCAGTTATAACAGCATTCCAAATATGATATTACAACATTGCTGTACCTGAAAAAATTCTGCAGACATCTCCAAAAACGGAGCCTCAAAGTCTTCTTCATAGACTGACCTTCCTTCAAGACCTAGAATCATTAACATCTGGCAAGCATTTCTTATTGCGCCTCTGCCAAAAAGTAAGTTGTTAACAACTTGAGAAATCTACATGCTTGTAAGACAGAGTACACAGCAGAATAACAACTCAGAACATAATATCAACTAAAATAAAATATAGTAATAGAAAGTCCATCCTAAATCTGTTTGGTACATGACAGGTTTTCAAGAAGATTACAGGAGCAAGATTTTTTGTTTCTGTTCTAAACTAAGGAGCTGACAATGTTTATTAAATATTTTAAATACAACGATAGGGAAGCAGGTCTTAAGTTCTATTAACTTGGAAAACTATTAAGAATATATTTCCACATACAAGGAAATAACCAAAAATACTACTTCAAAGAAAACTGAAAACTGCACATGTAGGTTGGAATTCAGCAATTCAAAACAACTGCACAGATAGAAGTTGCTGTGCGAAGTTTGTTGCTTTTTTTTTTTTTAAAAATAAAAACAACACAAAATGAAAATCTATCGGCAAGTTAAGCATTTGGTTAGACATAGAAACACATCAATAAAATGTGAAAACAAAAGAACTGCATCCAGGAAAAAATTCCACTCTCTGGCAGTAGGGGACAATACACAGCTGTTGCCAGGGAATATTTTTCTCTTCATAAATTGCGTGTTGGGCAATCTCAATCACAGAACTGCAGCCAAAGTAGCATGGAGTTTACATATCTCCACACCCAACAGCTGCTCTGACACTGGAGAAGCACAAGAAAACTTGCAAATTTGAAGTTACTTCAGCTGCAGTATCTGCAGTGTGTGGCATAAAACTCCACATCTACTAAACTGGCCAGAGAACAGGAGGAACAGATTTAAACATGCAACTGAACTACCAAGACACAGATGGACCAAAAAGAAAGCTTCAAAAATTGAAGAAAAAAAACCCAAACAAACCAGGTACAAGAAAACTAACCAGCCTCTCAGTACAAAGGAAATACAGGCTAACAAGAGGCAGGGAACTGTCTAAACTCCGCTTTATAACCAAATACTCTGGTACAAGGCAGTAATGGAGAAATTTAACAAAAGTTTTAATAAAAAATACAAGACAAATATTCAAAAAAATATATTAATGAGCTTCCCCATCTACCGTTATGCTAAACCTTAACATACAAAGAAACATGTTATTCCAGATTATGAAGAAATTTTACTTGTGATCAGAAATGCAGCCTTAAGTAATGATTTATTTCTGTATGTTCTTGATTCACTCTTAAAAATTGACAGGTATTATTTACAACAAAAGACAGTCACTTACAAACATCTTACCTGTCTACAACTTCTCCTTTCCTTTCTCTTGCAATCATATCCAGCAGAGTTTGCCGCAGGTGATCCCTAATACAGCCATAGCGTACAACTTGATCTCGAAAAATAATCAAGCCCAAATTGTAGACATTTTCCACGTTATTTTGTTGCACATACACACGGTCCTACAATGAAGGCATACATAGGAATGAAATTTTAAATTCAGTACACCCATGCTATTCAAAATTGCAAGAGATTGGTCATACTTGCACTGTACAGAAATAATCAAATGAATCTTCTCTCCTTTCTTCATGAAAAGAAATTATGAATACCTTGAAAATTCAAAATCAGTCCCATTTTCCAAAACTTCATTTACATAGAGAGTCTACTTTGCTTAAGAGCGTAAGCTCAGCAATTATGACTAAAGCATGCCAGAACAAAACTACAGCCTTGCCACTTTTTAGCTCTTTTTAGTTTGGGGGCAGAGGAATCTCCAAATACTGATAAAATTCATGGCACCATCTGAAAGAGGTTTTACTTATCTACTCAAACTCCCTCCCATCAACCCCTTTTTGGTCTTTAAGAAAAATTAATTCATTTTTCCCAATCTCCCACGCATCTTCCTATCAATCCTTTTAGGCAGACAGCTCCCCCTCAACATTCAGTGAAATTTCCTGAAATAACATCATTAGATGAACAGAAGAAAAAAGTAAAGCCAAAATGAGAATAGTTACAATCAAAACATTTATGGATTGGTACTGCAAAATTATACATAAGGACTTCTGTTGGACCCCACAAAAAAAAAAACCAACACATCACTTTCACTCAACTTGAGCAAGTATCTTGAAATCTTGTTATGTTTCATTAAAATCGCACACATACACACACTCCTCAAAAAAAAAAAAGAAGGGGGAGAGAAGAAAGAATAATTATGTTTCAATGTGGGTTTAAAGTTTATCTCCATACATAATCTCAATCTATAGGAAGAATCAAGCTCCTCACCTATCCACTAGCCCTATACTACCTATGTTTACAAATCGAGGCTGATCCCCAGAACAGTATTGCAAGGCCGTGTAGCTCAAACACCACCATACAAAGTTGACTGAGACACTGCTGAGCAGACACACTGAGTTTCTTACTGCTACCTGCAGAAATGCTTCAAAATGTTGTCTCCCCTTTTCTACTCCTCTCTCCCAACTTACCAACTCTCTAGAAAAGAAAGACTACTAAAGTTACTAGCAGACAAAAAATGACTGTATTCACTTAATATCCAATAGCGCTGTACCAGATAAGACCAGACCATTTAAAACAACAGTAAAAATAGAAAAATTGTGAGTTTTTACAAACTATTTTTGAGATAAGCAATGATTTTTTCCCCCCCTTCATTTCTGTCAGGGCATAATCCATTTCTCTAATGTAACAGTTTGGGTGATTACTAAAAATACTTCACTACCATTTAAGCCTCAGGGTGATATTATTATAAAAAGTTAATAATTTTGTACGCACTCATGAGTTTGATTGTGATAAGGTTTACTGAGAATTTACATAGCTATAACAAAAAAAAAAAAAAAAGACCCACTAATCCACTATATGGAGGATGAAGGTCAATGTTTGAAATTGAGTATAAAGATTAGCTTCTCCACTGGTTCCAGCAATTATCTTAAGTGCTTTACCACACTCAGAATTGAAGTGTAAAGTTACTCAAACACCTAGAAAATGTAGCAATTTTTTAAAGAAATCATGCTTCAGACTACAGAAAAAAAGATTACAAAATTACAAGTTTACATAAATTCCACAATTAGAAGAAATCAGAAGGAACAGACACCACACCCTTTAATATTTCAGCAGCTGAATTTACATGGCAAAATTACTCATATACTAATTATATGCCAGATTGCCACTTGATGACCAGAGGAAAGCGAAACACCAGGTTCCACAATTCAGGAATGATTTCCCACTCACTCCCTTCAGACAGGCAGCACTTAAATTAAGTGAAAAAACAAAATGGGAACAGGTCAGGTATGCCTACTCTGTGGCTCATGAAGCAAGCTCAGTTCTGCCGCAAACCGACAAGTTTACTAATTGGTCTCATGAAGTCCGTTTAGGAACACATGGTGGTCTAAATCTTTGAAATATTTACTCTATTTTTTTCTGTTATTTAGAAGGAGGGTTATTCATTTCACTCCCTTATTTGCATGCTTGCATCAAGAACATAAGCAAAAGTGATTCTAAAGTAAGACAAGCTTAAAATACACTTTCAAAGAGATGAAAGAGAAAATTAAAAAGTAATGTCTAATATACTATATAACTTGAGGAGAAAAGAAATATGTATTATTTCCAAAGAATATTCAGGCCTCTGAAGCACAGGCAGCAGGGTATCAAAATGGATTAAAGCCATGGTCATGACTCATCTGCACAGTTTCTGTGTGGCAGTGCTAAACACTGCCATTATGAAATGAAAGAGTAACTGCAGCAGAAACTCTTCTCAATGTAACAGCAATGCCTTTTTAGTAAGCCAGACCACTCTACAATACCCAAATTAGAGTAGCAGCAGCAATGTTTCTGATACTCCTGATTTGCTTACCCTCGGTAACAGATCACTTCTACTGTCTACTGGAAGCTCTCCCAACCTAAAAAGAATAATCTTGAAGACAGGAAGCCCCGTTTGGGAACAGGTTTGACTGACAAGGTTACATGCTACTGAACAGCAATCACTTCCCACGGGGAGAAGCAGCAGGTGCTTAAAAGGTAAGAGTAACTCTCAGGAGACAAGGGAGGAGTTTCAGCCAACAATTATTCACAAACTACAATGCTGCTTACACTGCACAATAATTCTGATCTCAACTAAAGTAACTTACCAACTGTAAAGTATCACCAGTCACATTTTGCCCATCTCTGCATGGATGCACTACCTGGATGATGTAGCCTTCAGACACTGTTTTGTGTACATATATATATATATATATATAGCAAGTGTCTTTGATCCTAGTTCTGAAAATAAAAACACCACTTCTCCCTGCTACCTTGTGTGTAAGCCACGAACAATGACAGTCATATGCCCCGAGGTCAAAACTCACATAGCCGACCTGTCAGTGCTGGCCTAAATCAAGACAGCGGCTTTGTGCACTGCACAGATGAGAAAGGAATGCTCTGCCCTCTGCAAAATACACAGCTGTATTTGCAGGAGTAATTGTTCATGTCTGGCAGCGTTTAACTGGCACTACCCATATGCCTATAACGCAGCCAGGGGTGTGACTGCTGCGTTTGCATACCTGAAATTGCTTTAAATTTAACAGGTAGTGAAGAAGGGACACCACAGAATCCAGTTTAGCCCAGTTTCCATAAGATGTTCTAAGAATACTCATGCTCATGTAGCTTGAAGAAAAGACCAAGCAACTGCACCTCCACTGCTACTGTTACATACAGCAACTAAATAAAAACTATTGTAGGTATGCTTACCTACACTGCAGCCATAAGCAAGACTGAATTTCAGATATGCCCAAACGCAGTACGTTACTTCACTACTTGAACATGTCTTGGTACATGACTTGACTTAGTGAAGACGCTACTTAGGACATGATTTCACTGCTTGCTGCAGACAGTGCCATGAATGTACCGCATCTATTCTGGCACTGATTACTGTAGCCTAAACATGTAAAATAAAAGGAGGAGAGCTAGTGCACATATCTACAAAACACAGTGCAACTATGTAAACTTGAAATTCAGTTGTGGAAACTGGAATATCTCAAGAAAGTTACATTTGCCTTTATTGTGCAATTCCAGGTTGCAAAACCTTGCACTAGACCTACATTACAAAACAGACCTGAAATCAAGCAGACTTTTATCAGACAGTACCACGACACAAGAGATGTGATAATACAACTATGAGGTAAACTTTACAGAGCGCCTTGTGGAAGAGGTTCTGCACATAAAATGAAACCCTGCCACAAACCTCAAACAGCCAGTAACCTCATCGTTAAGCATCATAACAATGCACAAACCTCATTATACAAAATATATACGTTTCTAAAATAAAGATCCTATTGAATTAACTTTTATTTTAGAAGTGGCAAAATTAAACAGAGGAGAGAGATTTAAGATGGGTTAGAGAGGTGTTTGTTTGGACTTACATCACATGGGAGTGAAAATAAGCTGGAAAAGAAAGATGGCATTAAAACAGATATGGTTTAGTTTAAGATGTACAATCACTAGGCTGAAGTAAGAATTTAAGAGAGTAAGATCAGAATTCAAGAGGATGTTAAATGTTTTACTTTCACTGACGTCAGACTTTGGCTTGTTGGGTACCAATAGGTACATTTCCTGAAACTGATGGGTAAGTAATTGGGATGGCCTACAAAATAAGAGGAGAAGGATTGGGTTATCCTTTATTTATAACATATTATAATTGCATATACTTCTCTTGCTGGAATACAATCATATCAATTAACAATGCCTGGTGACTGAGTTTATACAGTGTTTGTTTTTTTATTCAGATAAAATATTTTTTATGTAAATTATATTAGCTGTGCTTGAATAAAAAGGTATAAACAACTTCTGCCATAAGCATATCACTATAAAACTACATTTCATTCAGACTCAATGGCATAAAAGAAGAACAAATCACTCCTTATTTCATAAAGTTCTTTAAAATTGTTTCTTTGAAGAGCAGTCAGGTCTCATCTTTGACAGATGTTCCTCCACTTTATAATTCTGTGGTACTAGCAGCTTTTTCAAGCTTTTTCAATGAACACATACTTAAGGCTAGAAGTTTCCTGCTCTTAGTCTCTTTCCAATGAACAGAATTATGTTTTAATGAACAGGACACCCCAGTAACAAAGGTGAAACTGCTGATCTTTGAGACTAGTCCCACTTTAAATCACAGCTTATGCTTCAATTTGTAATCAAAGCATGTATTTTCTAGACAATTTGTCTTATGCCCCTCCAAGTCAAAGAAAAGGAGGGAGTCTGCCCATTTTATCAGCTCTTTGCATTAGACAGTTCTATCTAATAGAAGATTAAATTTATAATCCTAGACACCATGTTACATTACAGATGTTTAACAGAGACATCAGCGCTCCTGAAGTTGGAGAAGTTTATAAAACCATTTTGAAAGAAAAATTTATTACATGTTTACTATATTTTACTGTATTACTATGTTTACTGATGTATTATATGTATACTATAAAAATATTTTATTGTAGGTGTGTCTTTTCTGTTTCTTTGGGTCTTATTTTGGTACAAGGAAAAAAGCCTATGGGAGGCAAATAATTAAGCAAGTGGATATCCACTCAACTGAACATCCACTTGAAATAACTAGTAACTGTCAAACAGCACATAAAAAACCCTATATATTCCAGAGGTATTAAAATTTATTTGTTTACTATTCTGTTCCGAATCTAAAATACAACAATGAAGCCCAATTTGCACGTGTAGGAATGCTGCAGGTCTCCATCTTATGAAGTTTTGGGGGAAAAGAGAAGGCTGGCTGTTTGTTCTAACAGCACTCGCAAGCTTCAAACAGATGTCAAGACATTGCTCTCCTGAGCACAAAAATTACTTAAGAAACAGCTCTCATCTCCTCCTCAAAAGTGCTAACTGAAGCATGTGACCCTTCCTCAAAGAGGGGACTTCTTGGTCCTAAATATACTGGTCAATACACTAAAACAGGAACAGCTGATAAAACAGCTTTCCCTGACACTGAGGGAGCAAAGATTTATCAAATTCAAGAGCAGCAGATAACATTGCATTATCCTCTCTGACCACCTATGCACCTTGGAGCATCCAGCACCTCCTGTACTGAAATAATACACAATATTTGACTAAAACACAACAGCTACTTCCCTAGAAAGCTCTGGATTCCATCTTCTAACATTTCTGAAAATTCACCACTAGCTTTGGTAGATTATTCTAATTGTTAACTATTCTTGAATTTGCCCAGATGCAGCTAGCAGCAGTTGATTTGTATTTGTCCTTCACAAACAGATTAGAGATTCCGGGATTTCTCATAGCAAAGATAGTACACCTTCAAAACAATTTCTCAATTTTCCTTTTGGCAAGATAAGATACTCAGATCATTAAGTGTCACTGACGGCATTTTATCCAGCCCTCTATCTTTAGATATGTGGTCTTTTCCTAATGTAAAAAAAAAAGGAAAAAAAAAAAAAACCAACAAGAAAATAAAACCCAAACCACAAAAAAAAAAAACAACCACAAGAAAACCCCAAAAAACCAAAACAAAAAACCCAGAAACACCACACAAAACCCAGAACATGAAAGCCAGTAAATCCATTTAAAAAAAAAAAAAAAAAGAAGAAGCTATATAGCTACAATAATGACTCCAAATTCTTTAACTTTTAGGAGCTTATTAACCAAGTAGGATTTCTTCACAGCTAATACAAACAGGTTCAATTTCATAGGATGAGATCTTTAACAGCTACTAGATAAGATCTTAACTCCAGTTGTTCAGCAGATAGAGTACAATCTCAGTTGATCATATTTTTTGACATAAAAAAAAAAAGCTCTACCATTATTTGTCCTTTACTAATACTGCATAAAGTACTATCTTCAGTATGGTATTTTGGAAAAAAAAAAAAGATTTTACATAAAAAACCCACAGTATCTCAACACATATTTCTTTTCCTTCTGAAGTTAAAGCCTTTGGCTAGAGCTATGCAAAAATACACTCTCCTGCATCCTCAGAGCTTGCCCACCATTCTGGGAATTTAAACACATACCAACTACCTAAAGCATAACACAATCCAGACACAAACACGTAAGGCCCTTTCTCTTAAAGAAAGGCCTTTTCCTTTAGCTATCAGGTAAGGAATGCCTTTTTTATTTTTTCTTTTAAAATTACAACCATGCAACCAAAGATCAAATTCTCATCTATGTACACTACATAATCTTGTACCCAAGCTCTATATGAACAGCAAAGGATTCAACTGGAATTTAACATTCAAGGACACAGACTGTACCTAAGCAAAGTTATCCTTTTCAAACCCCTAAGCTTAAAGAACAACTACTACATTGGAAGTCTGAGGAGGCTTTACACCATTATGCTTTCCCAAGTAGGAAACCACCATTATGTGAACTAAAACATGCAAATAACATCTATAACCTGCCAGAATGGGTCTGACTAGCTTATTTTTTAAGAATTGCAAAATTCAACCATTTTTCAGATGCATTTTTCAAATGATAATGAGATAACCTGAAAGAAGAATCCAATTATAATTTGTCACACACCTGTAATAATCTTTCATGCACACAGGAAATTCAAAACAAGGGACAGACAGTAGTCTTAGGAAGAAGATGCGTGAACACGCCTTGCTTTTTACCCCTCCAGCTCAGTTGTTTACATTTGTCAAAAGACAATTTACTGCATCAATTTAAATGTGTGAAAAGGCAGAATACCCACCATATACATCAGAATATCTCTAATCATCACCATCGCTGTTTGATGATCATTCCATGCTTGGTTTAGTGTTTGTAGGAAGTTGTTATTCAAGGAGTTTAACACATCTTCTCTCACCTGAAGCAAAAAAAATAATATATTGTCATAAACCCAGGTCAGTTTCTCCTGCATCATTTAAATCTTAACAAGCTGTGCTTCAAAAAAAAAAATTCTTGCCCCTCTAGGAACTTGAATGTTACAAACAAGTTCTTGCTTTTTCTGGGTGCTGACCATCCCTACCTTGTATTTCACTTCTGTGGAAAAATAAGAATTCACACAGTAGTAAGAAAAATCAGGCTAAAAACAGAGCAACAAAATAAAGATGGATATTAAATTTCAAAGGTATACCTGAAATCTCAAATGTTAAAAATGTTTTTTTACAACTCCTCAAAGGTTTACTCTCCTATGTTATAGTGTTTCAACTAATGTTAACTTTACTATCACAAGTAATTTCAGAATATTGGGTAGTACTGGTAAATGTTACAAACAGGAACAAGTACAGGTGGAAAATTGGCCATGATGACATTTAGAAAGATATGCTGAGATAGCATAAAGTTACAGCAAACGACAGTTCTGAAAGGGAACAATCACTTGGTAAAGACCAGACTCTTATACTAATAGTCCATAATCGCCAACAACAAGACTCCAGAAAACAAAAGAAAGTTATTCCTGTTTTTATGAATGTATTTGCTAGTTGATTCATCTCTCCCACCAACTTCAAGCGTTATTTCTTTTTGACACTACTACTCCCTACTAATAAAAAAGAACATCCAGTTTAATATTTTGATTTTCATGCAGTAGGCATATACTACAGTGCTCAAGCTTTAAACACATGTAAAAGAGAAACCTGAGGACTTGTGAAAAAATTATTTCCAGAGTTAACAAAATGTGTGAACTGACTTTTGACATAACATGCACAATACATTCTGCCCTCTGTTGTAACCAAACAGAATGTATTTACATTTGTAGATTTGCATTTATACTTGTGATAGTGTAAATTTCAGTATAAAGAATTCAAACAGGAAAACAAAACATATGACAAGCAGCCACACGCTGCACCAACATCAGATGCAAGCACGTGACAGCCTTCATTCTGTTATTTAAGTTTTATGAAGTTACTAGGCAAAACCAGCGTAACAAAAAATTCAGTCTGCTACACTGCTACATATACTCCATAGACTTAGATGAGAAAACCAGCAACATAGCATGGCACACCGTATGAACACAGTGGTCTCTTCTCAAGAAGCTGTGGAATCTTATCCCCATAATATTCACCTTGTTATTGAATCTAGGTAATATAGGTATGCCTGTAGGTTGCTGAAAGCTTTCCGAAATCTTCAAACACCTACTCCCTTGACCTGAGCGAGGCCTCTCCTCCTTGCTTTTGGAAAACACAAGAGGCAGTAATAAGCCACAACCAGCACTGCTTAGCTGCCTCATTCTTTCTGACAGTGATCATCATTTACCCTTTGGTCTCCTAAATGTGCCCTGTTGTCATCCAATCTATGTAGTTTTTAGCCAAAATGTAAATATTCATTAAAAACTTCACTAGCCGTACTTGAAAAGAGTATGCAGAATCTCCCAGAACAAGGAAACAAACATGACATGGTTGCTTTCACTTCTTTAGTAAATATGGAAAAACATTGGAACTATTATTTGGTAGATCACCCACACTAGTAAAATTTCCCAAAGCAAAACTAAAAGCATGATTAGTTTACAAGCACAGATAACGAGGGTAGGGATTGATTGATTTTACCCAAGTGTATGAGGCCATCACAAAACTATTCAAGGATCAAAGATTTTTTTTTTTTTTTTTTAACAACACAGAGGCAGCGTGCCTTTTGATTACACACAGCCATCACAATAGTCCTACCAGATCAGCCAGTGCCAAATCACATACCAACTGGTAGCAAAAGGGGGTGCTTGCCACCAGGTAGCAATGACGACTTGCTTCTAAGCAGACATGGGAACGCTCAGATCTGTGCCACCGCTGCTCCATACGGTATGACATGTGGCTTTCTGGAAATGTGTTTTAAATCCAGGAGTAGGTGCTGTACAACAAAACTACTTAAGAGTCTCTCTGTGAAGCTTCTCAATGACATTCTCCTATGTTTACTTTAAGCTGCTGACAGGTTTGGGAAGCTGTCCTTTTAGTCGTTACAAAAGCCAACCAACTTATTCCTTACAACAGCTGTCTAGTTAATAAGCATTAAACACATTCCTTGTATGGGCCACGAATACAACAATAGTACAGGAAAACTACTATAATGCACAAAACATCCTAGCCATGCAAAGGCACAGAGCCGAACCACTTTGGTAGAATAAGTGACTTATAGTAAAAAAAAACCTGGATATCCATGCTCTTCTATAGAGAAGGAAGCCCTTCAGAAACACAGCTGCTGCTCTTCCAAAGCCTTAAGAAAATTTCAACCTCAAAGATTTTTATCAGCAGAATCTTACTTTCAATTAGCTGAGCTTGTAGTGATTTGTATGACAATCTTTGCATTTATGCAATAAATTGGCAGGGATATCCAGCTCCATTAGGACTGTCCATATACAGTCTCAAAAATAAATTAGCAGCTTCATAATCTATGTAAGGTCTTCTTATACTTGCAAGGATGAAATCTTGTATATAACTTCAGGCTCAAGTGTATTTTATACTGGATATAGCTCTTAAGGAAATATAGCATCCTCCCCCGCCAATCTCTTAAGAACAGTTTGTTGGCATAAGCTTTCAATACCTTTCAATAACTCTCTATTAAGTGTACACAAAGCAGACTTACGGCCTAGTATTTTCTCTCTTACAGTGCCTGGCCTGATGCAGCAGCACGAATAGTTTAGTTATGTAATTTCCACTACTGTAAGGACAGCCAGAACCTTCTGTGGGGAGCAGCAGTATAGAACAGCACTTTCTGACCTAAGGCCTCAAGGTCGCAGAACTTCTATTACGGCGCTTCTTCATCTTCTATAGAAGTCCAAGTAGTCCAAAAGATAGCATTCTAAAATCTTAGAGTTCCAACTAAGTTAACCGATTAACTATGACTTTACCAGAAATGTCTGTTCACCCCTGCAGCTGCTCTCCTTTTGCCGAAAGAAAAAAAAAAACAGTGAAGAATATTGATGATTTTGAATTGAATTGCATTTACTTTCTGGCAATTCCCTCACATCCTTTTGCCCTCCACATAAGTGCAGACTTGCACAAGATCATCTCAAAATATCATTACGGAAAGATAAAGGCAGATAACACTTCATACACTGTCAGTCAGGCTTACAGTACACCCTAATGCTCACTTATTAATTTGTCTCCTACACGAATCATGTCATTCCTCGCTATTTCATAGATGTTATGGAAATTATTTCAAACTTCCTGTAGGAGACTCCTATCTTCTCTCTCCCCTTCTCTCTGCAGCACCACGATAGCAAATTTTAAAGCTTGCCAAGCATCCTAGACATACCTTTATAAGCCCCGAAATAGACATGCTTCCTTCACCCCATACAATTCCTTCTACACCTAACAACACTGCCACAATGACAGGCTCTGTGCCCCCTTTACCAAAGGCTTTCTTGCGTGCCTGCCTTTATTATTATTCTGAAACAGCATGCACTGTCGCTACCAAACTGCACCAGTTGTATCAGCAAAGACCACCACCATGTCGTAAGGCATTCTGGCATGCCAGCAGACAGTAACTGCGAAGTGTGGTAAGATCAAGAAATCTTATAGGACATGACAATATCCCAAGCATCTCTTCCTTTTGCTCTAGTATCTCCCCAAAGCAGCACGTTTCAGCCTATTTAAGTTGAGGACAGTCTTTTACATCTCAATCTCTGACGTAAACTGCACAGAAAAAAACCAACAAAACTTGGGCTTGGCCAACAAATCAATCAATTTCTTTGTCACACACACACAATTTACAGAATGTATATGATATGTTGCATGTCATGGGTTTAGATTTCACTAGACTATGAAGTGTTCATAAAAACGAAGGGAACTTTAAAAATATTATCCTGCAAACTTTTTAACTTCAAGATTTTTTTACTCTAACGCAAGTGATGTTGCTTATCATCAACTGGTTTAGAGAGCTGCAAACTAAGCATTGTGTGTTTTTTAAAAACACTTTTACAACATTTGTGTGAAGAAGTAACAGACTAGACTTGAGAAGTGTAAAGGAAGAGCATCCACATCAAGCTTCAAGATTGCCAAAGGACAAGAAAGGAAGAAATCAATGAAGTACCAGATGCACAAGAATTAAATGCCTGACTTAAGATGAAAGGTTTCCGTACTTTGTTTATTCAACAGTATTTTTAAATTCAATTTTACATGTACTATACTTTAATAATGATGTCAATACACAAGCAAAGACAAGTTTTAGCATGTCCTCGTAAAAGCGAGGCAGTTCAAGACAGCTGACTCCTGTCAATTGTGTAGAGTAAGCTACCTGGCTTACTACTGCCTCCACCAAGCAGCCAGGACCTGGTGACTGTAACTACAAGCCATTAGGGTCTGCAAGTTCAAAACCAAGCACGCTTTAAAGTAATTTGCTTGTGTGCTTGTATCTTGTATTGATCATGTTTGCACCTATCGTTTTATTTACAATTAAACAGGCTGTAAAGACAGTACATGGTATTATGTTTTCTTGTTGAGAAGTTAAATAATTTTCTTCTTTAAAGTGTTTGGTTTCTTTCTCATAAAAATGCTGAGTATGCACAACTTTCATCTAGCAATTAAATAAGCATAAAGCATAGATATAGCTCTTAACTGTGTCACACCGAAAAGAACAACTTTCGCTTTCCAAGCTTGAAAACTATTTGTAAAGACATCCGAACAAATGCATTGCTTCTACCTCATCTCTTCATCTGTTCTTACTTAGCCAGCATGACTGGGATACTACAGGAATGTAACTTTTTGTAGAAAGATAACCAGCAGATGTGGACAGCAAATGCCAATTCTGTTTCCAGGATTCTGGCAATTCAAAAGTTGGGTTTGGCTCCTCAGAAGCACTCTCTGAACTGAGTGTAGTCCTTTACTAAAATCTAGTCATTTCTGCACATTTTCATTTTGATAAAAGTAAACAGATTTCATTAAAAACATTTCAGTCGGCAAAATCCCCGTCTTCTAAACTCTAGCATCCACCATTGACTCTCTGAATAGAAGTTTACAAAGACCTGTGATGAGAGCACTTATTGTTAATTAGCTACTTAACATTTAACAGAGAACTGCTCTTGGAAAGAAACACTGAAAGTACACGATTCCTCTAAAATTTCTGTTACATAAACTGTGAGGTTAAATAAAAACTTCTTTTTATGCATCTTACAACAAGTACTAATGGCACAATCATAAGATGCCATTACAGAACTGATCCTATTCTTAATAAACAATGCACTATTTTTTCCATACTTCCATCTATAACTGCCTCAACATAACATCCTTAAGCAAACCACCAAAAAGGACAAGGAATAGCTTTAAGCCTACAGAAATTTTCTTTATTGTTCAGAGCTTTTTGACAGAAGTCATATTTTCTTTTTCTTAATCTTTTCCTGGGATTATTTAATTTATTAGGACATCATCAGACATCTGAACAATTTAGCCTTTTGAACTTTACAGCATTTAACTACTAAAACTCAGTAGTTAGCCTTTTTATTTGAAAAACTTTTGGTCATCTATTTTTATGTTACCCATGCACATAGATAGAATTTGATTAATCATGTTAAAGATCAGAATACTAGATCATTGGAAATTTTTTTTTTTTTTTAAGCATCAGATAAAATAGCATTAAGTGTCAGAAAGACATTTCTCTACACTGGTATCTGTGCGACCCTCTCAGCCAGTGCAGTGACAGTACAAATTCACAGGATCTTCTGCTCTTTTGTCAGTTTGCCACAATCAGCAATTCAGAATAATTAATTTTGCATATGGATAATTTTTAATATGCAGAATAGCTAGGAAGAAAGATAAGAAGCTTTCCTCAAATTAAACCAGGATAAACTAAAGCCTAGGAAGAATAAAAGTTTAGCATCATGATTATTATTAAGTATAGACTGTAAACATAGGCATATACAAGAACAAGGCACAAAAAGCCTCAGCCATTTGCCACGTTTTATATGAATAGTACAGATTATGAATGCACAGATTATGAAAACAGAAGTGTTTGAGAGTCACAGATGCGCTACAATTATAGAATAGAGCCATAAATTATTTAGCCACTTCACACATGATGTTTCCTCTCGTGCAAACAGTAAAAAAGCCCCATATTCAAAGCAGTTTTAGACTATACTTGTCTGGACTACATCTTTGAAAACTAAGATTTTAGAAAAGAAATAACACACTTCTCTGCCACAGCAGTAACTCCAGTTAGAATGCACAAAAAGCTCCCCAAGCATTATGCATTATTTAGACATAAACCTCCCATCCACTCTCTGTAATTTAGCCAGAAGGAATCATCCAAGACACATGATGGTGTATGACTTCCCTTTTCAAATGTTGTAATAACAGGACAAAAATCCGATACTCCACCTGGACCCCCAGCCAGTATATGGGATCAAAGCGGACACGTGTCTCTTTTCAAAGACAGGCAGCTATGGATGTTACCGCAAGGAGTAAGGCAGGCATCTTCCCTAGACTTAGGATCCTATTACCACTAAATATTATCTAGACTCATAAAAAGAGAGTTTTAACTTCTTTTAATGACATACTTATTAATCAACCCTAAACTTCCCTCACAAAGACTGAAGAGGTGGTTCCATGGTTTAACACAAGCTGTGAAGAGCCCTTTTCTCAGATGATACATCTTCAGAAACACGGAGTTTCTGCATGTCATTTTGACTGAATTAACGTGGTTTTGAAAAGGCTGAAATGACAGAATGCAGACTACTCAGGACTTCTGTTGTTGCTGAGCTGCTGTTTTTGTACATTGCCTACCGCCTCTTTAAATAGCATAATCCTAGCACAACTCTCATTAACTTGTGAATTAGTTCATTAGCCCATAACAAACAGGTTCTTACATTGGTGTTTATTTTGTTCCACAGATGAAAAAACTAACCGGAAGTCAAATCAAAATTTGTTCTGAGAAAATCAGAAAACGCCACCAAAAGGCCACAAACCTTTTTTAAAAAATTCCCAGCTCTCAACAGTTATGCTTCAGCTAAGGTTGTTTCCTGTTATACACTTTCAAATACTTCCTATGGTCTGCCCTCCATCAGTAACTTACAACAAACAGTATCTGGAATATGAAGTCATTTAAGCTTGATGTTAGCTCTAAGCTACCTTTTTTGAGGGTAGGAATACAATTTCAACACCAGGCAACACAACAACATAATAAAGTTAGATTTTTTTGGTCATTTAAATAACTATCCAGAATTCTTTCATATAAGACACCTCAATTTTAATTCATAAAATTACATACCTTGTTTATTAGATGCTCAGTGACCACTTCTCTTAGTCCAGTGTAGAGTTTTTCGCCATGTTTATGCAACACCATTGTATATGCATTCCTGTACAGCTCCTCAAAACTGAGGCCACTATTGTTCTTACGCTGGATCTCTTGAATCGCATTTTTTAGAAGATCCCAAATGCTGTTCACATATTTCTCATCCATAGTCATCTGTAAAAATAAAACAATACATTATTGTTTAGAATCAAGAAAGATCACTACAGAAAGTTATCTTTAGAAGTTGTAACTCCAGGAGCAGTAATTGCTTCTGCCACATTTTGTTGATTCCATTATCACGAGGTTTCTCAAACTTGATCAAAAGAAAAACAGTATGCAACTAGTAGGGATTTCAATAAATAATTATGAAAACTATAATTTGTAAAAGTTTAATGCTTTTCTCCTTCAGAGCTGCAAATCCACGAAACACAACCCCAGAGCCTGTGCAGGTGAGAAGGCAGGTAATCGTGGACATGAGTCCCTCCCTACTCTTCCTCCACAGTGTTAACAATGATAGTCAGTTAACTTTCCTCCCATGCAACATGCTGCTTGGGACGTCATAAATCGTGCTGCAACACTGATCTGCTTAACCAGACCCCAAATCAACTTGCACAATAAAAGATAATAAAGTCTGACACAGAGTTAACAAACTTACATAGTCATCTGCTTGAGCTAACTAAGTATTCTTTATTTACAGCAATGTACTAATGGCCAAAGAATTACATGCCTACAATATTGTGCCTACAATTTAAATACTTACAGGTGTTGTTGAAAAACCCCCACAAACGTCCAAAATTAGCATCTGTATTGAACATATTTCCATTGCACAAATATGGTTAAATAACTTCAAGCACTAAGCAGAATATGCATCCGCTTGATCTGTTATTCAGACACTATACACTTCAGTAAATACACCAAATAAAAACTACAGCAGTAAAGAAAAATTCAGACAGAAACTCTCATAAGAAATAGTCTCAATATAACAGCAAACCAACTTTTGTCCTCTACTATCTAGTGCTTAGTGTGAATCAGTTTACAATTGTGCTTTACCAATGCAAAGGTGCTTCAACATATGATGCTTTATAGATAAAGCAGTATCTGGGATGGTAAATAAGTGTAGCAACAAAATATCAGATGTCAGTATTGCTTAAAGTTTATGACTTAGCCAAGTTTCATCACCCAACTGAAAAAAACCTAACCTAACACTTTTTAATTGAACCAAATTTAAAATGCTATGTTTAAAGTTAAGTTTGGTTTAGTTTATACAAAAAGGAACTGATGTAGCATTTTACATCTAAAGAAAAAGGCTAAAGGGAAGAAAAAAGCCACTATTCCCAGAACTACTGTGGAGAAAGAAAACATCCCTGAGTCTACCAATGCTGTCAAAGCAGCCTTGAAAATAAGAGCTGAAAGTAGTAGAAGAGTAAAGAATAATGCTATGACATCATAGAGGAAAATCATGACCAGCCCTGGTCTACCTCTCTTCTCCCTCCCCTTCCACCCCAAAACTACTAAGTGAATAGAGGAAAGACGTGGAAGACTAGATTTGCCTGCATTTGTAATCACACACAATGATTAGCAGAACTTTTTTCATTAAGGGTACATTTTAATGTGCAACTTCAAAATATCAAGTTTTCTAGACATTATAAATAAAAGTACAGCTCGTAATAAAGATAAGCCATTCACAGCCTTGGGAGGGAATGGGCTGCTGAACAAAAATCAAAAAAAAAAGAGAAACTTCCCTTTCCTTCCTTTCTTTTTTTTTGTTGTTTAATTAAAAAAATTTTATTAAAAT